GAAAGCATCGAAACTCCAATTCCCATCGAACTAAACACCCATTAACTTTTAGAGACGAACTGATTCATTTTCAGCACTAATGCTAATTTGCACCAAATTCTAGTTTAAAAACTTTTAACTTAATATCAGTCATTATGTTTACAGAAAACGTACAGACACCTACCGATACCTTAATGCAGTGGTGAGGAAACTTTTTTTAAGTTAAAATTATGTGTTTTATAAACACATACATATATTAATTTTTCAAAGAAACTTCCACCGGCTACTGTAATGCTTTTTACAAAACTTCTAGATTCCTCCTTGCTTAGTCGAAATTGCTGACGTTTCGCCAATCATCCTGTCGGCTTCTTCAGAGCTTGACTGAAACTGATTTGTATTTTACTCTATACCTGCTTATATACTGTTTGAGGGGGGGCGCTAATGAGGAGTATAAACAACGTCTCGGATGACTGATTCCCAAATTGGTGACAGGTAGAGACCTGAGTCGCGGTTAAGATTGTTAGGTTGTTTATAGATTTCTATAGACTCTCGGATTTTTCGTTGGTAGAAGAACTGATTACATGCAAGAATTTTAACCTCATTGCTTTGGTCAGAACAAATTAGCTAAATACAAAATTGACAATCTACAAAGTTATAGTGGAGCCCATTCTAACGTATAGATGTGAGTGCTGGAAATTGACGGACAGACAGGAAAAACAAATTGATGCTATTGAAATGGACTACCTGAGAAGATCTGCGGGATATCTAGAACACAACTTATACTAAATGAAAACATACGACGAAAAAGAGAGAATGGAGACAACACAATTACTATGGTGCAGGCATGTGATGAGAATGGTGCAGGCCGGTGGCCTAAAAAAGCATTACTGTACCAACTGCTAAATAGAAGAAGAAGACTAAGAGCCTCAGCAACCAACAAGTTTTGTGCAACGGTCAGTCTATTCTGACTAATCTTGTCCGTTTTGTTCGGAGAACTTATAAGGAAATGGAGAATGGTCGTGATATCAGCGGGTCTGCAGGCAGATTTAAAAAAAATATTTGCATGATATAACCACGTGTGCCGCTGTTAATGGAATAAGATCCGCTTACTTGGATATGATTTCTGTCGATGTAGTAAATTTGCAGGCGTACTTAGAGAGATTCTCTGGGTACCGTGCTCTGAATTGACTTCACTTAAATGTTGATAAATGTCACTACATAGTATTATCTCTCGAGGTATACAAATGTGAATTTAAAATTAAAAAATATGCTATCAAAACCTGCGAACGTTGTTAAAGACTATATACCATCGTTCAAGCGGTATACAGGCAAAGGACTGCGTAATTTAGGATTTATTCTGAGAGCTACCGAGGTCTTTAAGGACCCAGCTTCTTTAATCATAATATGTATTAGTATGGCAAAGAATACATTGGAGGGACCGAAGGAAAAATATCAGCTAGATCAAGGGTCACAATGTCACATATGTATATACCGCCGTATACATCGGCAAAAAAATATTTGCGAGAAGGTTGCCCGAACACTGCCGATCGATGCGAAATCTTTTCGCAGATGGTCGAAAGGACTGACAAATAAAAAAAATAAACGCCATTTTTCAATCGGGAACGCCGAAATCCCATTAGGAATTGAAAAAGGCCGCGCAAAAACGACCCCGACGAAACGCAAATGTCGCCGTTGATTCGTTAATACGCCGCGAGAGGCGTTGAAAAACAAATGAATTCTCGAAGTGGCCGAATTGACTTTCGCGAATGGCAGTAAAACGCCGAATAGGCTAGAGGGAACAATAATACAGGATTGTAACACAAAAATTAAAGTATTCTCGAAGTTAATGATAAAGTTATAATATTTTAATAAATCAACAAATAAAAGCGCGTTATTTTCAATTTTAATTTTATTTTTCCGCTATCTACAATTAAATTCGCAATAATTTAATATAATGCTTTTATTACAGTCAATACATAAAAAAATACAATAGTGTGTATGTAGCCATTCAAACTAACAAGACAGTATCACAAAAAAAAACATAAACATTCTTTTAAAATGGAAAAAATATGTCTCTAACATTGCCATTACACACATTACGGAACGCGTGCAAAACCATTCCAAGATATGGAGAAAAACGTAGAGGTGCTGTCGGCAACAGAGTTAAAATATTTAATTTATATTTGTAGCGTAACTAAACGATCTCTGAAACAGGGCCGTACTTTGCCTAGGAAGAGTGACCCCATAATGGACATGAGAGCCTGTCCCTAGCTTATCGAATCAATACGAGGGCTGTTGTGAAAAGTAATTTTCAGTGTAAGCCAATTGAAATTTGAGTATGAAGCAGAGACATGATCAAATCCTCTCAATCCGTAACAAAACGTTATACAGCTGCGGCGCACCATGTATATTTTTGAAAAATTGTCAAGAATAAAAGTTTATAGAGCCGTATCTTCTGCTTCTTCTGGTTGAAGAATTTTTTTGGTCTCGTATACAGTTTTTGAAAAATGATGTTTTTTGTAGACCCTTGCACGCGCGATTTTTTATTTTTTTAGAATACTTCCCGATCACTCAGCCCCCCCCCCCCATTTTCAATAGGATCCGTCACGGAGCAAAGCATATATGTGAAAAATATGAAGTCGATTGCTTCAAATTTCGGACACTTATCGTGTTTCATAGCAAGGTCCAAAAAACAGTCGAAAATCGAGAAAAAAAGATGGATACCGGCGTCGGATCAGGGCCATTTCTTATAAGCTTATGTGCCTCGTGAAGGGTTAATTTTGTAGCTTCAACCGTTCGAAAGTTATTCAGGAAAAACCAAAAGACGAGAACGGACAGACAAAAAAATGTTTTTTTCGACGGTGATCATTTCTGTACCAACGGCGATCCCATAGGACCTACCGTTACCGAGATATAAAATTTTTATACGAGCGCAGATACTTTTGAAAATTCGATTTCATCGATTTTCGAAAGTAACAAGTAAAAACAAGTACCAAAAAAAGTTTAAACGACTTTATTTTAGATATAATAAAGGCAAACCCTACATTTGGGTTTGTAAATAAATAAATAAAATTTAGATTGAAGAAATGGTAAAAAATCATACTTAAACTCAAATAACCAAGATAATTATTTATTTTGCAACAAAGGCCAGATTGGAGGAGGGATACGCAGCGGCGCAAAGCGTAGACAAAAGTTCCGACACCTACAGAGAGAGGTCAACGAACCATTTACTAGCGTTTGATCCATGGTATCCGGATACCACGTCAGACGTTGCCGGTCCCTACCGCCCATTCTATTTGATATTTTGCACGCGTTTTCATGCCGTTGCTACGACAAAAACAAACGACAATGTTTATTTACGTGCACGCAATCTGCCAACAGTAAAAATGCGGATCGCTTTGGGCGAAGACGTCGGCAGGGTAACGTCATGGACCAGCGTGGCGTACGCGCTGACCTACTTGGACCTAACGGGACCAAGGTCAAGGTCAAACGGCGCACCTTTTACTGCGGATAGGGGTGGGCGATAATTATCGATGTTTAGGTAACATCGATATTCCACATCCGATGTTTTTGACATCCATATTTTTGTGTTAAAAAAAGAAGATTCTTTATCGGAAATGACAGGCTACTTGAAAAGCCCAAATCAGCCCTTAGATTGGTGGAAATCAAATAGTATATGCTATCAGTCTTTGCTAAAATATAGGAGGGTCTAATGAAATCCCAAATGAGTACATTTTTGACCAAACATAAGATACTTTTAGACTTGCATCTAAGGTAAAGTCTGTTCATAGATAGATAGATTTGGGGTTTTGTTAGTAAAGATACCAAACAATATTTATTTATTTATATACATGTTTAAATCTAAACAAAATACAAATTATTTTTATTACCTACTAGTTTGTTTTTAAACCAACTTTCAAATAAATAAACGGTGGTGTCTTCATGGTAATCCAGCGAAGAATCTTTAATATTTTTCGCAGACAGAGAAAGTCCATTTGGAATCCAACCATCTTTAGAGCGAGCATGCAAAATAGTTATTCTTTTATCTCTTTTTGATGGCGCGTTTGTTTTACACTTATCAGTTGAGTCAACCCAACCCTTTTCCGGGGTACCATAAGTGTCGAACCAGGTTTTATCCAAGTAAATAATTGGCATTTGTTGTTCTTTGTAAATTCCAATTTTTTCTAGATATTCCAGTCGCCATTTCCGAATTCTAAAAGATTCCATTAAAACTTGCCTTTTGTCAATTTTTTTTAATCTAAAACCCATGTGTTAAATACACTTCCATAAGGTAGTTCTGCCACATTTAACACCCGTTTCATCTTTTTCAAGCCTCCTAATTAAGATATCTAATGTAGGCACGCTTTGTCTATACTCGAGAAAATCTCAACATCGCTTCTTTTTTTCCTCGCTGAAATAGGATTGATTATTCACAATTTTTGAGAGTTAAATAAACATTCTTTATAACTTCCTTAGTCTTAGTCCTTAGTGTTTTCTACGTTTGGGCGGGAGCATCTCCTCAGATACACTAGACTCGCACATATTTTGCAAAATTCGCACACGATTCAACACACGAAATAAGAATGATTACTAATAAACTTAAACTAAGTAGTATACCAAACCAAAGAATATTAAACACAGGTAGGTATAAAATTATTTTCTATTACGGAGGACAATTTTACCTGAATTAAAATTCCGAAACTTTAGGTAATAATTTTGTTGCATTGTATGTTAATGACCAATTGGTCACTTTCTTATATCTATGAACAGACCACAACACACTAAACAGTACAGTAATTCAAAAAAATTAAAATGCCAAACAACCAAGGCAGTCCTAATAGCAGGTACCCGGTACCTGCGAGATGTAATATAGCGAAACAAACATATGACCAAAACTCGAATATATAAGACCTGTGTGAGACACGTTATAACATACGCTGTAGAAACTCAAAGAATCATCCCAACAGCAGAGCTGAGGTCTAAGATCTATAACAGGCTCCACACTGAGTTACTATAATAGAAGTGAAATCATCAGAGAACTTTGCGGTGTCCTTGATATTATACGATTATCCTGAAACAGAAGGCGCGAATGGAGAGATCATGTTGAACGGATGGATCACCGCAGACTGCCGAAAATTGCAAAAGATGGTCTCTCACGATTTAGCAGACCTCCTAGACGTCCCCCCATACGATGGCATGAGAGCTGGAGCTCATCTTGCCAACTACGTTTCTGACTACACAGTATAACTGAAAATTCTTATAAAAAGAATGATGCCTCTTAAGCCTGCAGTGGCCCGTCAGCAGACCTACCATTATTCTTACGGCTTTTCTATTGTAGCTTAGTAGGTCCGTTGTAAAATTGGCCGATGGGAACCTTAGGAATTCCTTGGCCTGTCTTTGCTCCGGCATGTCCCTCCACCATCGTCGGGATTCTCGGTATATCCAATCCCTGATGGCTGTTTTTGCAACGGGTTTGGCCACCCCACAAAAGGGTTCTGGTCCAATCAGGCGCATTGACGACCCTTCGCGGGCTGCGTCGTCTGCGCCTTCATTACCTTTATGCCCTTCGTGTCCCTGTACCCATGATAGAGTAACTTTGCTCTGGCTTGCTATCTCGTTTAATGCCTTATGGCAGTCCAGAACTAACTTGGATGTTATTTTATTAGATTGTGGGGCCTTTATAGCCGCTTGACTATCGGTGTAAATTGCAATTGATTTGTTACGGATCTTCCTCGTTTTTATTTCTCTTGCACAGTGTTCTAGTGCAGTGATCTCTGCTTGGAACACTGTTGCTAGCTTACTTATTGGAAAAGAGATTTTCCTTTTCGTCGTGGGTTCATATATTCCGGCTCCTACTCCTTCTTGAGTTTTTGAGCCATCAGCATACCAGGTCATTTCTGCCTTGATTGGTGGCCCGTTTTCCCAGTCTTCTCTGGCAGGGATTTGCATCCTGTAGCGGTTAACGAAGCAATACTTAGGTGTTGTGCTGTCCGTAGGCGTCAACGTACCACCTCCACAACAAACGGACTCAAAATTTTGATAAATCCAAATTCATGCATTTCTGGTCATATAAAAATCATCTGCCAAATTAGGGTAACTTAAAGTAAATAATAGTATTACTATTTCTGAAAGGTATTTTGTAAAATAACTTGGTATTACTATAGACAGCTATTTCGAAACTTTTTTTTTCAATTTTACTACTTCTTAACAATCCAACAATTAAAAGCTGGGTATAGGCCCTTAATAGAAACGCACCTATCATACGGCATCGTGGGCTGGCGTGGAGTTTTGGAAAACGAGATTAAAAATCTTATGAATGTGCAAAAATGGTTTAAAAAATAATGTTTCAAAAATCAAAATTATAAGCAACGAATTTGCTGTTTCAGGAGAGTGGTCTGTTGGATATACGGCAGCTGTATTGTAATAAAATATATAAAAAACCCAAAAAATTAATTAAATTATAATCAGTATATGTAAAAATACCAGACATAGTGCCTACTATTATTCAAATAACACATGGACGACGTTCTTATATATATATACTGCGACTGATCGATAGCTTTTAAGTGATCTTATTGACTTAAAATAGATGAGTCCAATTTTTTTATGCCTAGTGATTCCACACGCGAGCATTCTTAAATGCTTCAGTGGATATCCTAACATTTATCTTTCGTGTAGTATTGATTTTTCAAAAATAAACGGTATTATTATTTACTGCTACAAAATAGCCTTTTTCCCAAAGCTGGATGATTAAACATAGGAGTCAGATATACTAAACCAAAGGACTTTCCAAAATTTTGTTCCCCAATTCCATAAGTAGAGTTTTGCGGGATTTGTGATTTTCAAAAAATTAGTGAACTTTCTAAATGTATATTTTATAAGCAGTTTTGTTAGTTTATTCACATTTAGTTTCATTTAATGTACAGTTTTGTTTTGTTTGTCCTTATTTAAATTTGTAGTGTATTGTTTTTATTATTCCTTGTTTAGTATGCAGTTTTTTGAAATTTCAAATAAACATCATTATTCATTTTTAACAATAAAAATAAAGAACATCAAATAATAAACAATAATGTTCAAACATCGATGTTTTAAATACGATATATCGTAGCTATCGATGGCAGGCCGTCGATGTCGACATCGATATCCCGTCCCTAATGCGGCGTGTCAAAAATAAATCGAAAAAAGGCTAAACTTTCTTGATTCGTCGCCCGAAACGGACCAGTCGCTGTCATCGCGCACAGCGCACGTAAAACGTCATACGCTGACGCTACACAGGCAGTCAATAAGTGTTGCCACTACTTTCATTCGGGTAATAAATTTGTGATAAGTGACAAGATTTTGCTGGCATAGTTTTTGTGCTCATGTACGACTTAAATTTTTGCACCTTCTGTAGTTTATATAAATTAATTGATATGAAAACCGTTTAAAAGAATACAAAATTTTAATCTTCAATTTAATTTTCTTATAAACTACTACTTTCTGACCTTAAGAAGTCAATGTCATATTTGGGACGGTTTAAAAGAACATATCCAGAAAAATATATGATACTGATGATTGACATCTTTGTTGTTCTCAAATATCCGGATTTCATGAAATTCCAAAAATTTTTTGTATCGAAAACTGTGGCATAGAACATAGAAAGGTTCTCGAACCCCTTTTGTTTCTTTTGCTATGTAAACAACCTTTAGAAATTAAATATTCTTGGAAAAAGAGCCAAAATAGTTAACCTTAAAGAAACAAGTTGAAAGAGATTTTGAAGAGATAGTTAATTAGCTTCAAAAAAATAAATTCTGCCTTTGATTTAATTCATATACGAGTATGTCAGTACTACCAAATATTAAGTGCCCTAAAAATAAATATCAATAAAAATAACATAAATCTGAATCCATGTGGCTAGGTATAACGCTGGATCGCCATTTCAACTGGAAAAGTTTGTAGTTCAATAAAAATTGTCACTCCTACACTACTTGGTCACCGAACTAAAATCTAGCAACTTTAGCAAAAAAATAAAATAAAAAAATATCAAGCAAGACACTTAGAAAACTACGCTCCGAGAGCTTTGCCAAACAGCGTGAAACAAACTAAAAAAAAAACAAATTTTAAATAAAAAATAAAAAAATATATGTTTGATAAAAAAATTACTTATACTTATAAAGAACTCACAATACTTTTTAAGTCACTCCTTTATGCCCCCTGAAATGCCGTTTTCTACACTTATTGCATAATATACTATCTTTTCTTTCTTTATTTAGTTATTTTAGGACCAGATATTTTTTTCTTTCAAAAACAAGAATGTTTGAAACTTTCTAGCATTGTGCTTTAATATGCAGGGTTCATATTAATTGATAATTTCAACAAGGTTTCGATAACTCTACTTGTAGCTGATGAGTTGTTTTCCCACTCTGTTGTATTGTGTGTTTGTATTAATTTTATTTCTATTATAAATTTATTTCCTGTTTGTATTTTCAAGACTGCGTCTACCGTGAACGTACAATTTGTTAAAGTGTATTTCTCATTTACTCAGTTTTAGGCTATATGCAAGATCGCATTTTATAACAACAATCGTCGCGAGCGTACTCCTCCTTTAACATATTAGTACAATATTTGAAATGTTCGTAGTTCATTGTTCGTGTTGATCTGTTCAAATGTTCAAGCACAATTGCAATAGGACTGGCAACACCGCCGCCAATTGTCACAACGGGACAAAGAACAAAAGACACGTGGGACGAGAAATCCGCCGGGCTCTTTTAATCCAATGACAGAGCACACGTTTGCTGTCTGATCGATTAGCATTTGTTTTCCGTTCCGCTGCACTTGGCCTGCTGCTAAGGCATTCAATTGTTTCAAATCAATACGACCACAAGAGACGCCGTTTTCGGGAAACGGATTATCGGATGCGGTCTCAAAATAGGCGAAACGTGGGTACTTACATATTATCACCATGCAGCGACGACAAACTGGCGTCTCGGGTCTTAGGTCGGAAATAAAACGGTCGCATTTATAGGAAAAGCGCCGAAATGCAAGGTTGGCGTCTCATTCGAAAAGAGAATAATCGAATTGTGACCCGATAAACCAAAACAAATAAATCCGCTCGCAAACGCTGATAAAAGCTGCGATAGTGCACGAACTTGCAGGCAAAAATATCGCGCGCGGCGATGCATTTGACGAAAACGCGCGCCGTTTTTGTATTGTTGTTCGAAAAAATGGCCGAAGCTTGCGATTTGACGAGTTCGAAAAATATTTAATAAAGACGGGTTTCATAACCTCCGCAACAAAATGCGCATTGGTCAATGATCTCCGAATGGCCTCCGTGGCGCAATCGGCTAGCGCGTTCGGCTGTTAACCGAAAGGTTGGTGGTTCGAGCCCACCCGGGGGCGTATTTTTTTGTGTGTAAATTAATAAAAAAAAAATTGTTTACCGAGATTGGCGTAGTCCATTTTGCCCAAGAACTCCCAGGACGTTCGCGTCGCGTTCCACAATAAATCCAATCCGAACATCTCGTGCCACGACTTACGATGGGAAAAAAAACTACTTTCCGATTAAGAAATGGGGCATCGTTTGGCGTTTAGCGTCGCGACGTCATAGTAGCACCGTCTCGGGGTTGTCATAGGACGGCGATCGTTATCACGTGCCCGACAAATACGACTAATTCACAGCGAAAATTCATATTCCATGCGGATTCATGACGATATTGACCGGCATCCGTTAGTTACCAATGCGTGGCGCGGTTTCGGGCCACTGGGAAAAAAAAACAGTTCACCCTCCACCCCTGAAGGGTATTTCGAGGGTGCCGGCGCAGACTGACTGTCACCTGACCGGCCAGGACCGGCGCCGCCCGGAAGGTCCGCTCCGGCACAGGGCCGTACTCGCTCGACAATGAAAAATCCAGGAGACGAGTGTTTAGGTTCGCATTTGTTTTTACTTAAATACATGTCAAAACATGCAGACTTATTCGAACATGTAAGGATAATCAAATAAAACACCGCAATGAAGCAGAATCGAATTTTATCCTGTCGGTTCGACAACTACGTCTTCACTAAACTTATCGTAAACCTCAAAAACATCGCGTGATAAGACTATAATTATAACTCCTCACCCCAACTTGCCCTCTCTGTCTTGTATTGCCTGAGACGCCGATACATTTTACAATATAATGGCCTCTTTGTGAAGTGGTCTTGTTAGATATGATGTAATTCTATAAATGTTCTAACACTCGGCCATCCTGACTGTTGGTCTGTCCTCAGACCTGATAGTAAAATTTAGATGTAACTTCAATCTTACAAAACTACAATAATTTGACCATTACAGCTTGGTTTATAGTCTTAATCATTACGTAATATAAAAAATATATATAATCAAAAATAAGTACTAGAGTTTCTTAAACATAAGCGACGTTTGCACTAAATAATGGCTCTTACCAAATTTCATTAAAATATCTAAAGTGGTATTACAGATATTAAAAAAATATATTTTATTTTTGAAAACTTTACCACCTTGCATCTCAAGAGTTAAGACGTTTAGGACACAGTTCATATTAAGTTTTCTTTTTAAAATGGACCCAAAAATCGTCCCTTTAATTATAGACATTCAATTAAAAAACACCCTATATATAGCTTACCTTGTGGGCTGAACTAGAATCTTTGTTAAATTGAATTTCGGGCCTTTTTTGCTTGTAAAATTGATTATTGGATGTAAATGCTGATTATGTAAATACTTTCAGCAGATGACCTATGATTATTATTACTGTTATTATTATTATTGTTATTAATATTATCATTATTGTTATTGTTATTATTATTATTATTATTATATCTGCCTCCAAGAAACAATTTATGCAGAAGCGAGAAAAAATGCATTGAAAGCAAGAAAAAGATGGTCCGAGCGTACAAACGTAGCGAGGTACCAAGTAAGAGATTATGCGATGATAATTATAAAGCAGATAGAGCCCAACTCAAAAGAGCAATTTCTGAGTCAAAAAAAAAAGCTACATGGAAGAAAATTATCGAGGAAGTAGACAGGAACATATAGGGAAGAGGGTAGAAAAGAAAGGTTAAGGGCATTTCAGTTACAGTGGAAAGCATAACAACTCAAAATCAGGGGCTGGTCAGATATCTAGGTATAAAACTAGATAAGAACATGTCCATGGGGGCCCACGTCAGAGCCGTAACAGGAAAAGCCAACAAGGCCTTGAACAATATCAGTCGCCTTTTACCAAAAGTGAATGGACGTCGTGAAGACACCAGGAGCATATTGACTTCAATACTACTATATGGCGGCTCAATATGGGAGCAAGCAATTGAGACGAAAGTCTATAAAAGGATACTGATATACGTTCAAAGGAGGGTAGCCATAAGAATCTCCGGAGCAACCTCCAACAAGGCACTTATGGTGATAGCTCGAACCAGAGGCTAAAAAGGAAGGACATAACACGATGGTGTTATGCTGTACAGCGGAATGAACAACAAGCTAAGGATTCCTAATCCTCTATAAAAAAAGACACAATTTATGACCACTTGAAAATTGACGATCAGGTGTAAGCTTATAGTCGATGAAAATGTTGTAGCGAAACAAATTTATGTAGCGGTGTGTTTGTTTCTATTTGCGTCTGCGAGTTGAATTATAATTTGATAGAGGGCGCCCTACGATTAAACGATTATCGTATCGCTACAGCTGGTAACGCCCGACAAGGCGGGCATCTCACCCAATGGTGCTTATGTTTCTAGAACTTGTGTAATTTGAGATTTTTTTCATATCATGTGGCTTGTTATATCGCCGTATTGTGTCAATACACTTTACCGGACGTCTGCCCGATCTTTTGTTAAGGTAGGTCTCGTATTTTTTGTGTGGAAAAAGCCACTTATAGTTTTTCTAAGTTATTTCCTTTTGTTATCGATTTATCTCAACCCGAGCAGGAGAGCAGCATGCTTAAATAACACTATTCGGGCAGAGAAATTTATCAGGCTAAAATATCCAAAACAACGATTGGACCGATCATGATCAGCAGAAAAACGACCTGATACAACAACAACTAAGCAGATGAATAACATAAATGACTGAACTGGAGCACATCGACCGTATGGGTGACTCGAGAATAGTCAAAAAAGATCGCGATAAATCGCCCATAGGCTGTAGATGTATAGGGCTTCCTCGAATAAGACAGAGCAACAATTTGCAGAAGTAGGAGACGAAGAAGAAAACAGCCAGTCGTCTAAACTAAAGAAGGAAAAAGAAGGAAGGAACGTTTCAAAAATGAAAAACTGCTTGATACGAAATTTACTGTTTCTGTTCAAGTGATTTTTTTGACAAACTTACTGTAAGTTGTCTTTCAATTGAGAGGAAGTCTTCGCTATCTGCATCCGCATTCCACTACGACCATGTCTTTATACGCGTATCGGTACGTCAACACCCCGTTATCGTCCACGTAGAGGATGGAGATCGGGTCCAACGTGGTTGGCACGCAGCAAGACCTAGAGGCCTTCGAAGGAGACACGCTGTGAATCAGCGCTTGCATGATGGCGTGTTTGGTTGGGCTCAGATGCTGAGCCACCGGATAAAAACACCTCCCTTGGCACTGATAAGCCTGCGCGGACCACTCGAATTTGAGTTTTCCGAAACCCAGTATTAAATCCTCACCTCGTATCCGGGTGGCTGCACTATCCACAAATCGTACTCGATTTCAGAGAAGTTTACGAATAGTGGCCTCCTCCTGCAGCTGTTCGCTCTCTGCCTCTTGTATTTCCGCAAGCCGACCGCGTTGTCGGTCCATACGCGGTTGGTTTCCTCTTCGTAGTCGTCCTCCAAGCTCCTCTTGGCGCGGTTTCGTGGGGTAACTTGTCTTGTTTTGTCCTCCAAGGTGTACGATAGCAACAATACGGGATAGTCGTGCCTGGTATCCTCTAAAGGAGGCAAGAGCGACAATTTCAGGTTGTTATTCGAGTGACGTAAAACTGAGGTTTCGGTGACGGTGATTTTGAGGAATTTCGATGAGGTCGCGTTGCGACTCAGAGCTCGGTGCACGTGGTCGGTGAGGTCGAAGCTCACCCACGTGTCGTTGAAATGGTGCACGTGGAGTTCACGGAGCGCGCGATATTTCCCCGAGGTCTCGTCGAAAATGGCCGTCGTCAGAATCTTTTTCGCCCCTGAAATGGTCGTTTTCTCGGTTGTCTCATTTTGATCAGATTGTTTTTACCTGGTTCGTAATCAGTATTGATCTCGACCTGAGTGAGGATCTTGAGCTCCGCCCCCACGAAACGCTCGTCTCTATCCGACGCTGGTAGGTCGAACACCAGCAGGTGGCTGTCGAGGATTACGTTGTCTTCAAGGTGTTCTGCAAATTTTGTACCATCTGGGTGACGGTCTGGAACTCAGATGTTTATAAAAAACGCGCTGTTATTCTTTCTACAGGGTGTCCAAGATGCTGTACACTGATTTTTACGTAGAATTCGGTGGCGTAGTCAGTTTTTCCCTAAATGTTTTTTTGGTGGCTTATTTAATATAACACATCTTATAGTCCAATTAATAAATGTTAATATTAAATTGGCTTCGTGCAAATTATAAAAGTTATTGTGTAAGTATTGTCAGCAATAAATAAGGTAACTATTTTAGATATTGAATAAATCCTTTTTCCAAGGCCTACAGCAAATAACTCCACGAAAATTGAAAAAAAAATTGTGAAGTCATGTATACAAGTTATACATTTTTGAGACGTTCGTGCTAAAAAAACAAACTTTATTCTTTTTTTTTTTCAAAAAGACCAAATCATTTAGAAAAAAACTGATTACGCCACTGAACTCTATGGAAAAATCTATAACAGATGCGCTTTTAACCTTTCCATAGCATGCCGGCGATACGAGGGATGCATTTTAAAAAAACTACGATAATTTTCGTTAACGACATCTTTCGTTTCACAAAAAAGTACCAAAGGTTTGTGAGAACGCAAGGCTCTATCTCTAACAACAGGCAACAGTATTCATGGGGGAAACTGCAAGAGATACAGCGTCGCTTTAATGGAAGAAAAGTAGTGATGTATATGTGAAAATATAATCTTGCTTCGAGACCACAGGATGAAAAAGGAAAATGTCCATTTTCGAAAAACCACAATACATTTCCTATTATAGGAGAAATGTTCCAATATGGGTAAAAGGATGCAAAAAAGGAGTCCAAAAACATTTAAGCCTACTACGTTGCGTCCGGCCGAAGTGAACTTTTGTTTTTCTTATGGGTGCCATATTTAATTTATACTTTTTAAAATCCTTTTTAAAAATTCTCCTCAAGTGTTACGGCTAACAGCTTCTTTCAATTCTGTATAGGACCTACTGTTTACTTAATTTTTGAGGTGATCCTAAATAAAAAAATCAAGATGTTATCTCTAAGGATGTCGCAGGTCACCTGACTGGTCTTGTATTGCTGGGAAATTGTGGATTTAAAAAGTTCATAATAAGCTGTGCATTGTGTGGTGGTGCGTGGTCTTGTTGGAAAAACAATTGTCGCATAGCCCCTAGTGGTGCATAAGATTTTCTATTAAGTTTGTTTGCACACGGTTTAAATATCTTTCAGAATTTGTTGATGTGGGTACCCAAAAGACCAAACCAAACTTTAGGCTCACTTGGTGCCTAATTTCACGAGCTACCCGTGGATTTACGTCTGCTTAAAATACAGTGTTTTTACAATTAAGAAGTCCACCGTTAGTAATTCGGCACTAATTCGACCAAAATGTTTGGTATCTCTTTGTTTTTCTGAATAAGCCACTGGCCCAATGTCATTCTTCTAACAGTATTTCTTTGGCTTTTGCTTCTTCGGCAGAGTAAACAATTTATTAATTTATAATATATATAAATGACATATATTCGATTACAGGACTAAATAGTGAAAGCATTGTGTGTTATGCAGACCACACAAACTTACTTTTGGGAGGTACAGATATTACTCAGGTTCTAAACAATGGTAACCCAACAATTGGTTTAAAGAAAACAAATTAATTTTAAATAAAGATAAGTCACAGGCTATTGTGTTTCGAACAAAACAGTCTAGAATGCATAAACCACCCTATTTGGAATGTGATAAGCATGTTATCAACATAATAGATAGTGTAAAGTTTTTAGGAGTAAATATAGATGACAGTTTAATACAACGGTTAAATTCCGTTTGTTATAGAAGTTATAGAATTGGAGTAGTTACAAGGTACATGCACTACAATATAACAAAAATTTTATATTTCGCGATTTGCCATGTTAAAATATGGCATTGTGTTTTGGGGAGGGCACAGAGCAGTACAAAGATTATTTGTAGTTCAGAAGAGAGTTATCAGGCTAATTAAAAAGATGAAGTGTGGAGATACTTGTCGAGGAATTTTTCAGATGGAAGGTTTAATGAAAGTATACGGTGTCTATATTTACGAGTCACTCATATTTTTATTTTAAAAAATCGGGAATATTTCGAACTGCATTTATCATCCCATACGTACAACACTAGAACGCGAAATGTAAATTACCCAATACATAGATTAACTCTAACTGAGAAGAGTCATTACTATATGTGTAGAGGATTTTATAACAAATTGCTCAACATTTTAAAAGAAATAAATAATTTGAACAGATTTAAAATAAATTTTAGGTCACTTCTGATAGAATTACAACCCTATTCAATAAAAGACTATTTTGAGAAAATAATGTAAGTATTTTTATATGTTATGGTTAATTGTATAGTATCTCTAGGTATTAGCCGCTATTTCCGTTGTGTTTTTGTATTTTGTAATATACTAACACAATTTGAAATAAAGATGATTATTATTATTATTATTAACTTCCACACACCTGCTGACAGTAATGACGAATCACCTGGGATACGCTGACATGGCCAACTTGTGGCAAGTAAACTCAGCGATATCAAAGCCTACTGTCTTGAATTGTTATTTTTGCGAATTTATTTTGACCAAACAGATGCTTGAATAGGATTTTTAAAGAGGATTTCAAAAATGTAAAAATTTAATGTGGCGTCCATAAGAAAAACAAAAATTTACTTCGGTCTTACGCAACATAGTATTCCTAAAATTTTTTGATGTCATTTTTAGCACCGCCGATCCGTTTACCCATTTCCTGAGAATTTTGACAATTCAGACTTGAACTATTATTATTGGACTGATAGTAGTATTGCCAATTCATTTTAGCTAAAGGAATTACCAAAATTATCTCTCATCCACTACATTATTTGCCACACTCATTTCGCGAAAAAAACTTCATATTCGAGGCATAAAAAAGAACTTTTGTAAATTATTAATATTATTATTATTTTTATTTAAAGTTCCCTTTCCAAAGAATCCACGGAACCTAAAGAATCCACAAAATCTCCCATCTAAAAGGGAAGAAAAAAGATAATTAAAAAACTTTTGAACCATAATCAGTCAGTCAATTCTAACTACTCGTCCTCCCTACGTCCGGGGAAACGTGCGAGGAACCGGCAACGTCGCGACCTACATACCCGCCTGCGAAGGTACCAAGCTCCGTACTATGTCCACTTCTTCGTCGCTCCTCATCATTTTGTTCCTCTCGTAAAGTTCCAGCATAAACTTGGGTACGTGGTACTTAATCCTTCCCCTACCCTTGACTTTGTCGCCGACGCTGGGCGTCGCCTGGACAAGAATCTTCTCGTCGTTGACGATGTTTACCTTAACGGAGGTGCTGCACCGGCGGTCGTTGGTCAGCAAGACGACTAGATAAATTGACGCGAACATCAAAGCGGCGAGAAAAACGAACAAACCCAAATACATGGCGGCGAACGAATGAGGGCGTCGCGGCGCACTCGCGGGCGCCTCTTGAGATCCATTTGGGTTTATCTGGATAAGTTGGTCTTTATCTGCGGTTTAAAAATCGGAAGGGGAATATGGAGTACCGCGTTTTCTTGCAAACGCTTCCAAAAATACACCCGCACTCGTTGCAACTTATACGGGGTGTTCGGGAAAATTCAAAACTATAAGTTTGCTTGACGCCTCTGAAATTTGTTTTTTTTAAATAATTTTTAATGGATATTTTATGGCGAAAAACAGTAATAAAAAATAGTGTAGTATTTGACAAGGATTACTATTCCAGTTTCACCAATCTGTTTGATGATATTGTTAGTTATTTTATTGCGGTGCTTTTCCATTTTTGAGTTCTTTTTGCTTTCGCTATTGTTTTCCTTTTTATTTGTACAGATAGAGATTTTTATTAGAAACATTTTTTTAAGATTTTTTAAATGCAAACCTATCTGTTTCACTGATTTTGCCTTAAAGCTTTTAGTTCACGAGATATAACACAAAGTTATTTTTTTTTTTTAATAGAATACCCCAATTTAAAAAATATATATTTTTCTAATAAAATTTCCTGTCAAACGATATGCCATACACCAATTTTTATTAAAAACAGTAATAAAAAATAGTGCCCTTGAACTGTGTTGAGCACTTTTTTCTATATAGCTATATGTATTAACACCTGCTACAAGCTACGAGGGCAGCGCCAAAATTTCCTGGCCTGAATATGAAAGAAACAAAGTAGATTAACAATTTTTTATTATTTTTCAATACAATCCCCCTTAACTTTAATACATTTATTACATCTATTTATTAACAACTCAATCCATTTAAAAAAATATTCTTTTGGTTTGTCTACAAAATGAGCTAAAACAGCCTCTTTTAACTCAACTTCGTCGTTAAACCGCCGTCCACGTAAGTCCTTTTTCAAATATCCAAACAAATAATAGCCGCTGGACGCCATATCTGGACTATAGGGAGGATGATCTATCTGTTGGAACCCACACTCTAAAATGGCAGCTTGTGTAACACCAGCAGTATAGACAGGTGCACTATCGTGCAAAAGGCGCACGCCCCTGGTCAGTTTTCCTTGACGTTTTACACGTATGCAGTCTCGTAATTTATGTAATAACGTTGCTTAATATTTACCATTGACAGTGGTATTAGTTTCTTTAAAATCTGTCAAAACAATTCCTTCCCAATCCCAAAAGATCGTGGCCATCACCTGTTTTGTTGACTGGCAGACTCTGAATTTTCTTGGAGGTGCTTCACCCTTACGACGCCACTGCATTGATTCTTTTTCGATAGAGGGTCATAATAGAGAACCATAGTTTCATTTCCCGTCATAATAGTTTCTATCACAGGCGTCGGTTCCGATCCACAGAGTTGAAAAAAGACCGCGCACACCGACACTTGACAAACACTTGTATCAGAAAGATTAGTAATTTTTGAAATTTCCTTGACGTTTAAACGTCGATCACTCAATACTACCTCTTCCACAATCGCAACAATATTTTCCGTTTTGACCTCCACTGGTCGACCAGTTCAGTTCAGTCGAAAACATTTTGCCCATTCTTTCGATGCAGAATATGAAGGAGAACTTTGGCCGTACACACCATAAAAAAAAGATATCTGCAATTTTTAATAATTACCATAGTAGGCTGTGCTTAACTCCGACCTATGCAGTTTTACTTTGCAAAGTGCGACAGGATAAAATGTTATATTGAAAGTATCGAAAATCGACAGACGGCGTTAAATCTATATTTCCAGAGATATCCGGACAGAAGGCGACCAGCTCAAAAATATTTTTGAAGTTAAAACGTCATCTACAAGAATACGGATCCTTTACAAAACCGCGACCTAGGGCAATGGAAGCCTAGCCAGAGTTAAGGAGTTGGAAGAACTAACGGTTCTGGGAGAAATAGAAATTAACCCGAATTCTTCCACCAGGGCTATGGAGAGAAACACTGGAATAAATGCCAAGACCCCGATTTTTTGGACGAATGAGGCACCGATTTCTAGTGATGGAATATTCACCAGGTATAACTGATATTACTGGAACAAGCGAATCAGGGAAGGTGCAGTTTTGAGGTATGGGTAGGCATCTACAGAGGTCAAATAACTGAGCCATATATTTTTGATGGAAACAACAAATTCTAGAAGGGCAGGTAATTCCGTCTATCGACAATTTGCCACTTCAGCAAAACACCTCCTCACAATGCTAAATAATGCGTTTTCCGAAAACTGGATCGGAATTAAAGGTCCTATATATTGGCCCCCCAGGTCTCCAGACCTAACCCCTTGCGAGTTATTTTTGTGGGTGAGAATCAAAGACCTTGTTTTTCGAAATCGCCCAACTACTTTGTGCGGTAAAGAGAAGATGTAGGATATGTTTACATGAAAACGGCCGTCAATTTGAGCATTTGTTTTAGAATTAAAGAAGCTTGTCAGATGTAAATCTTGATTGTTACATAGTTTAATTAATACAAATTTTAAATAAAAAAATTGCTTTTAATAATTTTATTGTAAACTAGTAGTTAAATTGCGAGGTTGCTGTGTCCCCTCCTGTCGTAGCCAACTTGATTTTGTATAAAAAAAAAACAATAAAATTTTATCTACACATTTAGGGCGAGCACAGCGCCTACTATGGTAAATATCAAAAATTGCTAATATCTTTAATAAAATTTGGTGTGTGGTACATCGTTCGTTAGGAAATTTTATTAGAAAACTGATTTTTTAGAAAAATGGAGGGTATCCCATTAAAAAAAAACTTTGTGTGATATCTCGGGAACTGAAGGCTCTAAGACAAAATGGGTAAAATAGAAAGATTCCCGCTTAAAAAAAAAAATGTTTTTTCCGAAAACTCTATTCTTACAATTAAAAAACAGGGCCTTTAAAATCGCACATTGAGAATCACCCCGTACCTGAAAAACGTCTTGATATATCACGATGTGGTTTTCAGTTTTTGACTATTAGTTTTGGGCTAACTACGCTGCAAATGCTTAAAACCATAGATTTCCCTCGAATTTCGGCCACCCTGTACATTGTTAAATGTTTCGCATACTCCATAATAAGTACGGTTTAGGTGAAAAACAAACAACGTGGGCAGTATCACAAAAGCGTATTTATTTACAGGAGAAAAAATTACACAAATCAGCTAAAAATGGCGCCGCACATTTCGTTATTTTTCCGGTTCAGCGCGTACGTTTTGCCCGGATGTCTCGTCACTCTCTTACCACCTAACCTAACCCTGTGCTTGCTACCCTCCACCCGCTCCGTTTTGACGACCGCGTGGCTGCAAAAGAGTTCGATCAGCGTAACCCGCACCACCGAGGTCGACGTCCTACCTAAACACCGATTCCGGTTGAGCTAGTCTCACGCAGAGTTTCACCTTCGACGAGAAATCCGCGTCTATGTTGAGCGACAGCTTAGGCTCCACCGAAGCGCTAAACTCCACCGATGACCTCGCCACCGGCGACACCACCTCCACCGTGCCTTTCCCCAGGTAGCCAACCCTATAAAACCCACTCTATAAAACCCGTCAAACCCTCAGTGAAGAAATACTCACGATTTTTCTATTAGAGACTGGGCGTTCCTGCTCCACAAAGATATTTCGATTTTCCCGGACAAATCCAGAGACGCGGCTCCTTTGAAACCGAGTTTCGCTACGAAACCCGAACCCAGCCTCACCAACTCGGAATGATCTTGCACCAATATCGTGGACTGGAAAGCGGGGGTCATTTCCGACGCGCTACCGGACCACACGTGTCCCATCAGCTCCCCTTGGCCGGCAAAGAACACGAACGGCCTTATTTGGGTACCTAACACTGTCAGCTCCATGCCCGCGGTGGTAGGTTCGTCTTCCGCTTCCTCGTCGCCGTCTCCGTCGGACACGAAAGCACCAAGACCGCTCGAAAATATCCCCAGCTGCAACGGAAAGAGATAACAGTTCCAGGTCGAGAGCCTCGGAGGAAACTCACGTCGAACAGCTCGTTGGCGAAGTGTTCCGTCTCCAGCAGTACCTGGACGTTACCTCTCTTGACTATCCCGTCTTTGATCTCCTGGACGGATACGATGTGGCCCTCTGAAGACGATCCCTTGAAGACGTTCCTCCTCAAAGCGGTCGAGAGGCCTCTCGGTGCTAGGCCGTGGTAGTTGTGCAGCAGTTGGTTGTTCTTCGTTAACAACGCGACCCTATCGTCTTTATCGGCCAGCATCTTCAAGCTTTGGAAGACGTATTGCTTGACTTCGAAGTCAGGATCGTCGCTGACGACGAAACTGAGCAGGTCGGCGAGTTTCTCGTCGGAAACGGCGGACGCGAGGATGATGTCGACCGCTATCGTCCTAGAGCTGGAATCGCGCTTTTTTGCAACCTGGAAAACCGCCATTTCCGCCAACCGCAGCACCTCCGCGTTCCATGAGGATTTGTTGAAAGAGCGCAAAGCTTTCCACGCCCAATACTCTTCTTTCGAGGTTCCGTTTTCGATGTAACGGGTCAGAGTGGCGACGGAACTGGGCGACCGCAGGTTCTTCAGCGCAGCGAAGTACACGTGACGGTCTTCCTCTTTGGCGTAGTCGAGCTCGTTGGTGATCGTCTCTTCTACCGCTTTCACGACCTGCAATACGAGGTCTGCCTTTTATATTTCGGGATTTTCTTAAACTAGTTCTGCCATCTGGCGACTAACGTTTTTATAGGGAAGTTTGACATTTTGAGGTTAGGTTTACTCAGTTGGGTTTTGGCAAGTCCGAATGGTACACAACCATTTGTTTGACGAAAGTCTTCGAAGAAATTAGAAAAACCAACCGCCGCTCATGCTGGCTCAAGATCTCCCTTGGCACCTTCAATGCTCGCGCTCCGAAAACACTTCGAACACACGGAGCGCGAGCCAAGTGGCGAAACGTCTGCAGGATTCCAGTCAGATTTCAACAAACGAGAAAAATTTTCATTAAAGAAAACTTAATCTCTATCACTGAATTTTAAAATCAAAATTGGATAAGGCAAAATGGAGACATCTGGTGGCCAGCTCGAAGTCCAGCTCTTACCCCACTGGACTTTTTTTATGGGGGACAATTAAACATATGGTATATAAAGGCAGATACACTACGGTAAATGAACTACAACGGTGTATTAGAGAAGCTGTAGTCCAGCTAAATAACACCGATTTTGTTTCTAATGCTTTTACTTGTTGCTGTTACCTATTTTAAATTTTTAAACTTCAATCATAATTATACATAATAGTTTACATCGTTGACGATATAAAAAATGATGACGTTTTAATTTCCTAAGCCCATAAATCTCTATATTACCTTACCTACAAAAACGACCCATCACCCATTGCAAAAATCCTTAAAATTAATTAAAAAATAAGAATTATATGCTTTTTTTAAATTCTTAAAAATAATTAGTTATCAGTATTTCGAAATTTTTTAGTTTGATTTAATGATTGAAAAAACCGGTTTTATTTTTTCGATGGGGGGCAGGGGGGTAAAGTCGGGGGGGCTATCTCGGAAACGGTACGACCTGGGGGGTCGGGGTTTTCGCCGTCGGATTCAGAAAAAAATCTCGAGGAGGAAGCGACCTCAAAAAATCGCTTTTGAGGAGGTAGCCCTTTTTCGGTTTTTCGAGGTTTCCGGAGTTATTTGAGGTCGGGCCGGGGCGCGGACGGTATATTCGCGTAGAGGGGTCCGAGGCGCACCGGAACCCTCAAAAAGGACGCCCCTCAAAATTGAGGAGGTATTGAGGTTCGGGAGGATCTCGTCTCCTATGGGACGGATCGAAAATCCGAGTACCTACGTCAACGCGCCTATACCCGGGCATCATTCTGAAGGCCCATGTCCTATACCCGTCTGTGGAGTTTTTTTTGAGGTGCGCTGAAGACGATGCAATGATTTAAAATTTTGTCCTAAGTTTCGTTTTAGGAGGAAGCCATCTTCAGAACACTAATTCGTAATAATTGTAATTTGAAGGTGATTCCGGGGAATTTAAGGTTCGCTGAAGACGATGCAACGATTTAAAATTTTGTCCGACGTTTCGTTTTAGGAGGAAGCCATCTTCAGAGCATTGATTCTTAATAATTGGAATTTCAAGATGGTTCCGGGGGTGTTGAGGTTCGCTGAAGACGATGCAACGATTTAAAATTTTGTCCAACGTTTCGTTTTAGTAGGAAGCCATCTTCAGAGCACTAAATTTTATTTTATTTAAAAAAAAAATGTATACTGTAACTTGAAATTTTAAAAAAATGTCCTTTAATGTAAGACACCCTGTTTAATTTCAAAATGCCTAGTCATCGCAAATCGTTAGAAAAAAGTCTTCGCGAAATGTGTTTAAAGTTTGATCAAGCAGTCATTACTGCCAGCCGTGGAAGACCATATTTACGTAATTTTGCACAAAATAATATATAATCTCAATTTCTGTCTAAACTACACAAAAATCGAATAAGCGGTTTCTATAAAAGTTACCTTTATTTTTGGCAAGGATTCTAAAAGTATCAATTTAAAATTTTAAAATTAATGTCTGTCCAGTACTTATCGAACCCTGTATATATAAAAAATAAATAAAACGTTTGTATAAACTTTTTTTCTGTCTGAGAAAAGGTACAGGACCCTAATAAAGTGCCCACCCCGTACACTCGATGACACTTCAACAACATACCTTGAAAGAGTTCTTGGAGGACTTCGCCGTCCTTGCCATCGACGCGATGCTCAGAACTAGCGTCTTCTTTATCTTCTCGGGGATGAAAGAGTATTTCCTGAATTTATCCACTAAATCCTCGAGGATATCGACATTGACGTGCGGCGACAGGGATAACGCCCACAGGTACCGCTCTACGAGGTCGGTCTGTTCTTCCCTGTCCAAATGCAGCGTCTTCATCGTCGCCCGATGCGACGCCTCCGTATGGGCGTGGCCCAGAATGTCCACGAGCTGAGGCCTGAAACGTAACACATGGTCCTAGAGGCCTCGCGAGGTGTTTTTACCAACAGGACGTGTTTGTTCTTCTTGGAGCTCAACGTTTTGACGATGTCATCCTTGGTAGCCTCCTTGGCTGACGCTAACAATCGAAGAAACGCATTAGCGGTCGTAACGGTACCCAGAACCTCGGTCCTCAAATGGTTCCTTTGTCGGTCCACCTCCTTTGAGAATTTTCCAGAGTTTTCCCGCGTTTCGGTCTCCGTTTGTGTCCTCAGGGTTTCCTCGTTCGCTCCTAATTTATCTATCGCGTTCCTTGCGTCGGTGGCTTCGATGGTACCGCATTTGCTGCTCTTGGAGAGCACCAACGACTGAGTCGACTCCACCGTCCCGCCCAAGACTGCGTTGGCGCTCGCCGCCATCTTGTGAGACTCCGATTCGTTGACGGCGAGCAGCCGGAAGGAAGGTTCCTCCAGCGAATACTCCACGACCCTCCGGGAAACGACCTTGACTCCTAAGGTGGGGTCTAGGTGTAGGAAACTATCCAAATCGGTGTCGGAACAGTCTGATTTGGTTTTGGAAAGCTTCGTCGCGGAGATCCGGGCGTAGGATGTCGCGCAGCGACCAGAGGCGTCTTCCTCGACGGTTTCTCCAGGGTCTAGCTGGAACTGAGTCGGGTGGTATTGGGTGATGTGAGTCATTTATGAGTTCGTACCTGCAACAACCCGGCCACACCCTTTTTGAGGTTTTTCAGAACGGTAGGCTCGTCGGCGGTGAAGTAAATGTTCCGCACCCGTCCGCCGGACCACGTGACGAAAAATGGCCGGTCCGGGTGCTGGTCGAGGACGGAAGGATGCGGCAGGAAGTCGTCGAGAGGCGCAGCCTTCCGGGATTTGACGTGCAGCTTGAGCGACCGCAGCTGTGGGGCATCATTAGAAAAATAAACAGTTACCCAAAATGGACTCCTAAAATGTTTTTTCTACTTTCGCCAGTAAAATGCCTAACTAAACACGGATCTAGTGTGCGGGAAGCGTCACTTTACCATGTCAGTTTCGTTTCCGACGGATCCGAGCCACTTCGCACATTTCCGGGATTTTGCCGCACGGGTTTGGGGGCAATCGGATGTTTTCGGAGATATTTCCCACGTTTTGAGTTTTGACGTTTGTCAATTCTGACGGTCGAACTTACTGGTTAATTCAAAAACTCACGAGTATGAAACGCGCTTTAAATTTGGAGAAAATTTAACTTTACAGAAAATGCATTTGCCTGTTGGACAAACAAATTACTTTTATATTGATCAAAAAATTTATAACGCACTGCGTCTAGGACTGAGACATAAATCATTTAAAAAAAGATTAACTAGATTGTAACTTAAGTTTCTAAGTGGATATTTATTAAAAGTCAAATTCGCAGATTCATTAATGTATTGTAACTATATAAATCGTTTTTTTTTTTTGGTAGAATATTATATTTTCGTTTTTCATATTATATAATAGATGCGAAACATGGTTAAATTAATCTGCGGAATCAAGGATGACTGTCAAGTTTTTAACTTAGTGTGCCTTGAATATTACAATAACTTGTTAAATTGTATATTTTTATTGATTTAAATAAATATTATTATTACTATTATCATTACTATTATTGTTAGTATTATATCAGACAAATTAAATACTTCGTTTTTACAGTACAAACAAAACAAAATTGAAGGTTAGGACCTGCTTTTTCATGCTTACACATGATTTGTCTTCCAATTACAATCTTTTTCTTTAAATAACCTACTTAATGATCAATAGTAAAAGTTAAATAGACAACATAACGTTTTAAAATTGTGTTTATTTCGTTGTTTATATGACATATCCAATAATACATCTCTCTCTGTCTAACGTACACAGTTAAAAAGAGACAACAATAGCAGAACCGATCAGAACGATAAACGAAATCTAACGAACTTAAATTATAAATTTTTTGATTTTCTCGTGACGGTCGTATAAAAAGTTTAGTATGCAACACGTTCGGTAAACTCTTTATGTCACTCAAATGCCGTTTACCGCACTTGTTGCACCATTACATACCTGCAGTTTCAAAATTTTTATTCTGTCGTCCTCCCAGACGTTCTCTACGACGAGCCTCCCGGTAAAAAGGAACCCGACGTCGTTTTCGTCGCCGGTACGCTGGCTCAGCGAAATTTTCGACTTCCACTCGTATTCGAGAGCCGTTCCCAGGGCGAATACTTTTCGAATGTCCCCGGTTTCGCCGGCGGCCGACGACATAAGGACGAAACCCGAACAGAGGGTCGCAACCCAGAAGAAAAGGGTGCACAGTACCGAATTGCAGTGACGTTCGGGGAACATTTCGACAAGGACTGATTCAGTCGACTGTTATCTGCTGACTATAGCCGAAGATTATCTTAATGGCCATGTCGAAGGTCATATCTTTGACGATAATGCGCTCCTTGAGCCGGATAACATAGAGGGTTGGGTTAATTAGTAAAATTCGGGACCCTCTGGCTATATATATAATACTACGTAATATAATTACAACGCGATGGCGATAAATGAACAAAATTTAGTATTTACAATGACGATAGGACAATGGGTTTAGTTTATTATTTATTTACAGTCGGCAAGTCTCACGCAGTCACGAACGGGAGTTTCCGGAACGTTAGAGGTTACTTACCTTCGACCAACTCACCGAAAAAAAAAACGGAACGGACGGCAGTTTTTTTTTCTAAACCGTATTAATCGGACGGCACGCAGAACCGATCTAGTGCCGGCCGAAAATATTGCTCGCTGCCGATGGTACCGTTAACGAACAGTTACGGCCTCCGTGTACGTCGCTGCGAGCGAGAGACCAAATCCTAATTGGGTTTAATTTAATTTTGTCGGAGCGTCCACGCTACGACAAAGAAAGGAATTTTCGAGATTTCTTATTTTTTCCGACAATCTTTGATCCTCTCCGTTAGTGAGAAACGTTGAATTCCTCTTCAATTTGCGGTCCATAAATCTATTTTTGCATATTAAAATGTTTTTTCAAAGTTTTCTAATTATACTTAAAATTTAGTTATTGTCTATGCAACCGGTAATGCATCAGCTCGTATTATTCGCTGCCGACCTGACTACCTGGCACAGGAGAGGAGGATTCTTAAGTCACCCATCACTTATCTATGGATTGTTTTCGTTGTTATTGGCGGGAAAATCTATGCAATTTCCGTTTTAAAAAAACTTATTATTGTTGAAACGATGTCCCATTTTCCCACGGAAGATGAAGAATTCGAGCTTATGTACGGCGACGATCTGGATCTGTTAAGAGAACAAGATAACGGTGAAACCATTTACTTTAATTTCCGAGATGTATAGGTTACAGATTGAAATTCTCCATATTTCAGATGATTTTGATGTAGTGACCGTTTCTAAAGCGAGGAAAAGTTTAAATTTCGATACCACTTCGCAAACCGACCAAATTGAAGCAGAAAAAGACGGGCCAAGTCAACGCGTTTTGGAAGACTCCTTTGAAACTGATCTAATAGAATTTTCCAATGGGGGCGCTTCCCATGATGACGGCGCTGCTGCCGACAATAGAAAACGAACCGTTGAGGACCTTTTCGGCGATATCGACGATATTTTGCTCGACCGAGAAACCTCAATTGCCAAAAAGCCAAAGCTTGACAAGCATAAAGAAGACATTGAGATGATAAATAGGATAGTCGATATGCGGAGAACCAATTTGCACAATCAGAGCCTGACTGTGAGAGCCAGAGATAAAGCGAAGTTGAACGTTGAGAGAGATAAGCAGAATCTTTCTTACAGCGTTCCTAAGTATCCTTTTGTCCGAGTTTTACGACCCGATGGTGAGCATGTTTATGTGAGGTGTCATTCTGAGGAATATGAAAAGGAAGAAACACAGAGGATGATGGAGGAGTACAATTTTGGAGGTATAATGGGGGATAGTTTCCAGGAAGTGTGGAATGAGGCTAGGCAATTGCTTCAAGCTCCAAATGTTGAATCAGTAGAGGAAACTGATGAAATTCAAATGCTGGACCAAAAAGAGCAAGACAAGCAGTTGTGGGTTGAACTCTACAAGCCTAGAAAGTACCTGGAACTCTTAAGTGACGAAAGTATCAACAGGACTATGCTGAGGTGGATGAAACTGTGGGACAAGGCCGTGTTTAATCGGCGACCCAAAATTAGAGCCACGCCACAGATGAACGAAAACGCGAAGCCTTTTTTTAAGAAATTCGAGCTGAGTACAAAGCTAGATGAGCACGGAAGGCCCGAATATAAAATCGCGTTGTTATGTGGTGCTCCAGGCTTGGGCAAAACCACTTTGGCTCACATGGTTGCGCGACATGCTGGTTATAATGTGGTAGAGATCAACGCTTCTGATGACAGAAGCATTGATTTTTTTAAAAATGCTTTGGAAACTGCAACACAAATGCGCTCGGTGGTGGACAGAGAAAGACGGCCCAACTGCATTGTATTTGATGAAATCGACGGGGCCCCTTCGGCGTCTATAGATTATTTAGTGAAGTTTGTTACTGGCTCTGCCACAGCCAAAGTCAAAAAAGGCAAGAAAGACTCCAAGCAATATGTCCTTAAGCGGCCAATTATTTGTATCTGTAACGACGTTTACGTTCCGGCGTTGAGACCCCTGCGCCAAATTTCTTTCATCCTCAACTTTCCGCCCACTTCGAGCACGCGATTGGCCGAGAGACTGATGGAAATCGCGCGTAGACAACAAATTACAACCGATTTGGGAGCGATGATCGCCCTGGCTGAGAAATCCAACCACGATATCCGCTCTTGCCTCTCGGTTTTGCACTTTTTTAAGGTCCGAAACAAACCCATCTTGCTCTCAGACATTTACGCTACCGACATCGGCCAAAAGGACGTGCAAAAAGGACTGTTTACCGTGTGGCAGGAAATTTTCCAATTTCAAAAACTGAAAACGGAACATAACCGGCAACCCCGAGACCTAAGGAAGCAGAGAACGGAAAACGTCCTACGTCTGATTAGTTCGTTCGGCGACCACGAGAGGGTCGCGCAAGGCGTCTACGAAAACTTTCCCCTGTTGAGCCACAAAAATTTAAACGTGACGGGGGCGTGTGTGGCGCTCGACTGGTTCTGTTTCAACGACTTGATCACGCGGCAAGTGCACGAAACGCAGAATTACGTCATGACTGGTTATCTGAATTACGCGTTTGTCGTGTGGCATTTGGTCTTCGGCAGCTACCACAGAACGAAGTTGGTCTATCCCAGCGCCGGGTACGAGGTGAGCATTTGCTTAATTTAAATTCCCCATTTTAACTACAGAGCGTCAGATGGCGCTGTTGTTTAATGAAAATGTTCATTCCTCAAATCTGTGCGCATTAATTTAACTACCACGCACAAGGCGGCGTCCTTCCACAGTTTTAAATATGTCTGGGCAACAATGATAGAATCAGATATCACTTCGGGGACGACGAATTAATAGTCCATTAATTTCCATTAGTGAAATAGAATGGACTGATTCGAAATGAAACTTTAGTTTGGCTACCATCCACGCGATGGTCGTCTCTTCGTAGGAGATTTATAAACAATTGACAAATTATTCATATGATAAAATAGTTAATAGATTGTTGTTATTTCCAATTTCCGGCGGATGCGCCGGGTTACTCGGTTAATTAAAAAAGTAATCTTTTCAACGAAAACTCTTGTCAACCGCGTTAAACGGCTACGAAATCCCGTTCAAAGCATCTACTCGTTCATTATTAACAACTTCATTAGCTCAATACAAACGACGCGTTTAACTTTCCAGGCGAGGGTAAAAGAGACTCGTCGCAAGGCTACAATAGCGGAGGTGTTGAGGGGTATGGCGCCTACGGTGCGGTGCTTCAACCAGGTCCTGCCGTTGGTACTAGACGTGTTGCCGCTGTTAGTCCGGATCCTGGCTCCGCCTTTCAAACAGGTCAGCTTGCACCTTTACACCGAGGAGGAAAAAAAGAACATGCTGAGGGTGGTCGGTGTAATGATCGATTACAATTTAAACTATGTTCAAGAACGTACCGCGGAGGGTCTTTACCAGTACAATTTGGGTGTGTCTTTTCGAAAATTCGCTTAGCAACTTATATTTTCTCGCGTTTTTAGAACCCAACATTGAGGAGTTTGTCATATTCGATAAGTCCTGCACTGGACGGAGAATGTTGTCTTACTCCAACAAACAGCTGATAGCGAAGGAGATTGAGATGGAAAAGATGCGGCGGTTCGAGGCTTTCAAGGTTCAGAATTCTAAGGGGGTTGCTGAGAAGTCGGTGGCAGAAGCAGGATCGAATAAGGGCGACGCCTTGCCGAACCACCTCCAGACCCTTAAAGCGAAGGTTATCAAGAGTAAAACGTCGCCAAAGGTAAGTTTTGGGCGTTAATGTCGCGGGCCCCGTTATCGGGCCTTGGGGAACTTCGCATTTTGTTAATCGACGTCTTATGCCGAATTTACATTTTGTTTATTTCAAATCGGAATCTCACTGTTATCGCGATGCCTACCAAATAATCCGACCTTACCAAATGATCAGAACACTTTCTTTACAAGTATTTCATGTTAATTTACATAAATAGGCTGGAAAATTTGTTCAAGCTATTTTCCTGTACATGGTTATGTTGCAATACTAACCAGCATTACCATTTATGTGTACTGTTATTACTCGGGTTACATGTTGTTTAGAAATTGCGTCAATTTCAATTAATTAGTAGCAAAAAGCCAAAATCTGGTTATTAGGTTGGATGATAAACAAAATATGCTGGTTCCAAATTAACCTTTATAGCACGTTTCACAATTTTCCCGATGTAATTTTATGATGTATCCATGAAAAATCTAAGTAAGAAACGTTGAGATTTATTCGATAACAATGATTCGATCAAATATAGACCACACACAAAATTACAAGAACACAAAATAGTAAACAAAGAAAAGGCACTTTCATGGGCTACTTAGTTTCCCTTAGTCTGTCCAACGAATGAAATTAAACGATATTTGATTTAATTAAATGTTAGTGAAGTAGTACAATTTAATTTTATTATTTTTCGTAGCGAATATTTAAGTAGGTGAATCTACATGAAAAAAATATGATAATTTGGTAAATAAACTACTGTACTGCAAATATACAAGTAAACCATATTTTCATCATCAGAGCCAAAATTGGAAGTGCTACTACAAGAAAATGATTATTCTACATCGTCATCCACATTAATAACAATCGTCACTGGGCGGGGCAAGTTCGTCCCAAGTAGCGGGAATCAGATTTTTATTTCCAAAAGAGGCCGCTTCGCTGTTTTTTGTCCTAGGGGAACGCATTGTTTTTCTATCGTGCTCCTGCGGGCCACTATAGAACTTCCGCAAAATCGATGTAATTTTATTGTGCATACACCCTGTATAAAGTGTGTGGTGTTTAAATGTAGAGTCATCTGCAAAATTAACCTGAGCCAGAGGGCCCATATGGCTAAAGAGGACATTAATATAAACTAAAAACAATAATGGAACCTTGTGGAACTCCCTAACTTTACATTTTATTATTGCAGAAAATTTCTTGCTTTATGTTTGGGAGATAAGAGAATAATACTTCTAGCGCAATGGGTTCCAAGCCGTAAACTTCCAGTTTTTTCATTAAAATTGAAAGACTGACACAGTCAAAGGCGTTGGAGTGGTCACACAGCGTTAAAGCCCTATGCCAGCGACTGTACGTAATGGAGCTTGGGTGGTGAAACGCCCCTTTCTAAGTCCAAACTGGTTTGGATTTATAAAATGTTGGCTTTCAATAAACCTTGTTAAAAGGAAGAAGAAGAAGAAGAAGAGAGCGCGTAAATCGCGCTGAGTTTCGTGCCGGGCGCCATTTTTTAAACAAACGAGGCGTGAAAGCGTCTCGACGTCGCGCGTCCGGATACCGGAACTCATTCGCGCTCAGTCTAACGGACAATTTCGAATATTTTTGGCATCGTTTACGTGGACCCCCGGGCTCTCGCGTGTCTTCCCGTCCTAAATAGTGTTACGACTTCAAATCGCCCGAAAAAATCAAATGGAGGAGAATTTATCCGCTGAAACGTTTTCCGGTTATGGAGGAATTTTCTTTTTCGCAAGGGGTAACAATTATTTCGGAGCGAGAGCTCGATTTCGGCGGGTCCTAATAAGAAAACAGTGACCGAATATATAATTTTATGTCGATCTTGCACAAAAACTAGTATCGATGGAAAAGAAAAATTAATAGAAAAGTTCCATAGTTCCATGTAGATTTTTAATTGTTGGTAAGATCCGTTTATTTGAATATTTTGGTGCATTTTTGGATTCCCCAAGAAATTCCAGATATATTTTATGACGTTTACGGGTTCTAAAATTAATTAACAAGTTTAGCAACAACACCTTATACAAATTCACTCTAATTTTCAATTCCAAATCGGATAAGATTATAAAAAAATTTTATATGAAAAAATTGACCTTTTACATTTTTTATAATTTAATTTTTATACTTCATTTTTGCTCAACCTGTATTAATTTACATCCAAAATATCCATTTAATATTACACAATAGGAAATTAAATAATTAAGAAAAAATTTGTCGAAAACGGTTAGACTTAAAATATATGTAGAATTTCCGGGGAAATCTAAAAAATATACAGGGTGTTCTATTTGAAATGAGGAAGCTGATATTTACCCCAAATAAAGGACAAAGTCAACAAGTCAAAGTATATCTTGTTTATTATTTGTCTTCAATAGTTATAGGTGAGACTGAAAAAAACAATTTAAAATTATTTTCAAATATACAGGGTGAGTCAAAAATATTGGAACATCATGCTCATATATTTTTCTTCCAAATTAATGGAAAGAAAGGACCTTTTTTTTCACGAAATTAAAAATTTACTTATTTATTTTTGTTTTCTTGGTTTATTGTTCATAAAAATATGTATACCTCAAAAAATTTTTAGGCTTAGGGATTGCTTAATAATATTGAAGAGCCTTAATAGGAGTAATTAATGGAATTATACTATGCAGAGTGCATAGTAATATTTTTCATTTTGACTCACCCTGTATCAACGATTCGAACTAATTTCAATGCAAGTGTGGGATAAATGACTGTACCACTTTATAAAATTGTTGGAATTAGAAAAGTACAGCTGTCGGAAAGGGCGTCAAAAATATGGAATATTTAACACCAGACATTTTTGACGAAAAAATGGCCATAACTCCGAAAACACTCTTTATAAACCATAGCAACCATACATTGAGTGATTGAGTGATTGAGTATAGAAGGGAGTGTCTACTAATGTAATATACAGGGTGTTTCCTTTACAAAATGTAATTTTGGTTTCCCACCAATAAAATCTAGACGAAACTAAGCAAATTTTCTATTTAATTTTTTTTTAACGTTCTTAGCTTTTGATTTAAAAGGTTAGGGAACCTTATTTCGGACACCCTATACATTCTCTTTATAAACATACTTCAAACTCACCAGCTGTTTTAACAAAGAAAACTTTGAACATGCCATGTTATTTTTTTCTAATTATTGTTTGCGAAATATGAAGTTTTTTCAACATATCGTTGAAATCCATTAAGTTTTGAATACAGTCGGAATTTGCAATTGTCAAAAAGGTACAATGCTATGTTCAATTTCACCAGATACCTTCATTGTTCCTGTACTTCCTGTCTTGTTCAGCAATTTTAGACTGACAACTTAAAACAACACAAAAAATAAAACTAAACGGTTTAGTTAACGCCAACCTATATTTTATAACCTTAATAGTTTCTAATTTAACCTTAGGTACAAGAAAAAAAGGATTTTTTTGTTTAATTTACACCGAAAACAAATTATTGAGTTTTCAGATGTGCTACGCTTTCACCCTTAACTATTTATAAACAACCAATGAGAACCCACCACTGATGTGATTTATAAAACTTGAATATCATATTTTGCGTAGTTATGCAGTCCTTGTTTGATGATATTATGTTTTTGTATTTTAGTTTTGCTTTTTCTTGCGTCTTATATTTTTTATTTTTGAAGTCAAGCAATGCGTTTTATTACTTTTTTCTATTAAGGTAACCAGCCGCATTTAAATTTCTAGCCTCCTAACGCCAAAAAATTAGTTAGTCCTGTAGACGAGAGCGGCACTGGAGATCAAGATTCAAAATTCAGATTGGGAGAATGGGAGAGAACGTTTTTCTTCTTCTAGATGTCTTTTAAGCCGGAAGGGATTCGTCAGTAGACCTACCATTACTCTTATGGTATTCCTTTTGTGGGTTAGCAGGCTTACTGTAAATTTGGCCGGTGTATTCTGAATAATTCCTTGTCCTGGCGTCTTTCTCCACCATTGGCTGGATTTTCTTTCTTCTGCTTCTACTTCTTCCTTACGTTTTTTCTGATATGCTATCTCCTTCACTTTATTCTAGTTCCCGGAATAATATTGCTAATTCTTCTTGCGTTCTTAAGCGGTCTGAGTGCCACATTATTTCTGTCCTTACTGGTGAGTATTCTCTGGCTAGGATTTGAGTGTAATTGCCTAGTGGTCAAATTAAGCGACATGTTCCTTCTTAAAATAAACCTAAAAATCATTCCCTTAAATATTAGGAGTGTAATTTAATGATTATAGGTCGAAAATCGTAACAAAAAGTGAGAAATTTGAGTCGAATCAAAGACAAAACCCGGCACGGAAAACAAGGGATCGGGGTCTTCAGACAATGTCGGCTCGCGGAACTTAAAACCCTTTTAGGTGAACAAATAACCCGTCCCCGGGATAATAAATAGCGTTTCTTTCATCCCTAACCCCCCCTCCCGCCGCCCCGGCAATGATAAATAGCGAGATGTGGCCGATCTCTTAAACGTAACGGCCGATGAAATAATGACGCGGTCGTTTTCAATATGAAAAGAATATGAAAAGAGACGACGTCTACGATGGCCTTAATTATGGAAAAATAATGCAGATAATGGCATGCCCTAATGGAATATAAAGAGAGCTAAATAACAAAAAGTCATCGCGTAATGTGGAAGGAAAAAGTTTGATGGGACAGTTATTGATTTCAATTCGTCCACTTTGAATATTCGGTTCTCTGCGGGGTTATTATTAAGTTATATATTTATTATCGGACAGTGTCCATTAGTACGCAACATACAGTGAAAAATAAAATTGGGATTGAATAAACAGAACTGCTTGAAAAAACAGTTAAGAGAGAAGCGACAAAAATGAAAAAGAGTATATAAAGCAGGATGAGCATGTTAAGAGCATCCGTCCATATTAAGATGTTATGAGTGGTTAGTAAAATGAAGAACGTTTCTCTGGCCAATAGGGACTACTGGTGAACATCGTCACACTATCGCTTCTAGCAGGTGTACAGACTGAAGAAGCATTTTCCAACAGTGATATGGTT